ATACATATTAGGATTCTCACTTTGGCATTATCACTTAGCCTGGGTCAACTGTGTTTAATAGGAGCCTGTTTTGTCTTTAGTTATTCAAAAGGGCCACTCCATATCCAAAAAAAAATTAATAATAATAATAAAAGCATTATTCGGAATTCAACAATTACCTTTTTTAGTCAATTCCTCACCTGCGGTTATGATTTTTATTGCTTAAAGTAAAGGCTAATGTCATTTATTCTGTTACTTTATGAGTTATGCCGGCAAACAGCTGATACTTTCGTAAATGTCTCGTGGTGGCTGTTTGTTGGCCTCAGCGATTCAGGGTTTGTTTCAGTTTATTCACCTATTATAACTAATAATTTCAGTAGTTCTTTTTTATTTTTTAATTTCTGATTTCGACTCTCCTAGAAATTTCTGCAGCCAACTTCAAAGAAGCAAATAAGAATAGCAAAGCGGCTGATTGACGATTGATACAAAGACCCAAAATAATCCCTCCAACTTCCCTACAGCTGACCCAAGGGCTTCGTAATAATGCAAAATGGCGGCCAGTTTAGCAAGAGGCAGGGATTTTCTTTACTCCCCCAATGACCTTTAAATCAGCCATGCTAACAATGTTGCCCTTCCCGGAAGTGCATGATTTGGACATTTCTGATATCTCTGCTTCACTCAGCACACGATCCCAGACATTGATGCCAGCCATTTCTCCGACGAAGCAGGATTCAGGATTAAAAGTGTTTTCGGAACTGTAGTAACTGTCCTTGTAAAATTGCCCATATACCATTTTGCCTTCATTGCCTTCCTTGAGGACAATTCCTATGTAGAAAGAAGGGTCAATGTAAGGGTGAACATCTTTTATTAGGGTTAAGGAAAAACATGTTGTTTTTAATTATTATTATTGAGATCAGGTAACCGTTCTTGAAGTAACTACAGCTGGAAACAAGAGTTTTAGCGATACAGTGGAATCTCTCCTTTGAGACACCTCTAACCAAGGGACACCTCCATCCAGGGGCCACAAAATTTGGTCCTGGAAAAATGTTCACATAATCTTTGTAATTGTTACCTTCCTGCGAAAGGGACACTATTTCTGGGTCCTAAAACCCGGGTTCAACATCCATTCACGGGACACCTTAGCACTCAAAAGGTGACTGACCAAACGAAGGTTTGATAAGCTTAAATGCAGACTAGTTGGTCACACTGATGACAGATCTCACAACATTGGATATCTCACTTAAATCGGTGTACTGCAGTCTTAGGTATTTTTAAAACACATCGCAGATACGGAAGCCTGACCTTATGACAGAAAAGTTCCACTGTACTAACTGAAAAGAGATGACTGACCTTGATTTGATATGTAGCAGAGGCGGATCTAAAGAAGGGGCCTTGGGGGCCCGGGCTCCAAGAACCCCATTTTTAGGAAAAACTGAAGCCCACACTACCAGGAAAAAATTTTTTTGAGTCTGGGATCCCTTCTTATCTTAGAGCGAAAACGAGATAGGATATTTAACAAGGGAAGCTTAGGGTAAACTTTAACACAAATATAGGAAAGCTGATTCAGTTACTCCATGCCAGTGCACTATCAATAAAAAGTCCAAGGTACTTTACAACATCTACTTCATTAAGTTTGCAGAAGTGACCCTATCTTCATCGTCTCATACTTTCTCGGGTGCGGCACCATTTAATTTTCAAACAACCATTAATCGATCTTTTTCAGATCATAATTTAAGCTGGCTGCAGCGGCAGTTGCACTTGCGGTGTTCGAATGTATTTCACTATCATCAGTATAAACCGTACAATGGGTTTGTTCTACAGATGATTGCAAACCATCATAATGAATAGAAAAAAGAGATGGTCCCAGTGCTGAGCCTTCTGGTACGCCGTAATTTAGGCCTACAGTGTCTGACTCTAAACCCATAACATACGACAAATTTCTTTTGACTCGTTAGATAACTTTCGAACCAGGGATAAGGTGTCCGACAGTCCCTATTATGCCACCCATTTCCAACTTAGATGGTAATATTTTGTTGTTGATAACATCGAATGCCTTGTGCAGATAAAAAGGACAGCCACAGAAAGGCATTTTTTTGTCAATAGCCCATTTACATTGATCAACTAGACCTATCAGTGCAACATTGTAGAAGAAAATTCCTTATACGCAGACTGGTTTCCATTCGCAAGGCTTGTTGAGCAGCCAATTACCTGAGTTGAGGAAAGCGAAGCTTTGCATATCTCTTTAGTAGGCTCTAGGCCTACTAAAAAACTATTTAAGAATTCCCTCTTCCCTCTTTCCAGTTCAGTACTGGCATCTTGTTATTCTCGATAACATTTTTTCACATATTAAATCATCTTGGTTGCCAAATGAATGTAACGATTCTCCGAAGGTGGCTGCTAAAATGCACCAGGAAAAACTCAAGAAAACACACTTAATAACCTAAAACATGCTCAACAATATCAAATGATTCAAATCTTACTCCATCCAAGGACCTATTCCTCTAAAGAACCTCTAACGTTTGGGACTGGAAATCAAATATTCAAATCAAAATCTTAAGGACAAAAGTGCCGATTTTTGGCCAAAAAAATGTCTATTTTTTTTGTTAACTAAATAGTTTATTCATATTAACTGCAAAAGTATTAGAACCTCGATCTGGAATATAAGCAATAGCAGCTTCCAAGGCCCCTTAATTATCGAGATTTTCGCCCAACCACACGGTAAATATAACTTCACTTTGGGGGTGGTGGAATGGGAGAATGCCAAGTAACATTCGTTATTAGAGGATTTGCATGGGTGGATCTTCGTACAGTAATATCATTGATTTAGCGTAAAGTCACTTGGATTCAGTTGATTGTGATGAACTGAGGGCGTGTATGGAGGTGGAGAACCCCAAGTAGGTGAGGTAACCCGCTTAGGTGGGGTAACCCGCCTGTCCATATAGTCACAAGTTTTAATTTGATCCCGTTTACATGATAGGTGGGGTGACCAGCCACATGTTACCTCACCTTTCTGGGGTCCCCCAACTCCATGTAAACAGGCCCCAATACGGCCACATTCTTCAAAATTAACATGATCATCATCATTATCATCATCATCATCATCATCATCATCATCATCAGACATTATCATTATACGTCAATTGGATAAAGTTCTTAGAATCAAAGAAAGGCAAGTCACCTGCTGCTGGTAAAGACTCCCTCAATGTTCCATCTACGTACACCTTCCATCTGTCTAATCCCGTTGTTACGCAGTAGTTGCTCCACTCGTTGAAACGTATGACAATGTTTAACTCTCTATTAAAATATTCAAAACTAAAAGTTAGTAATGCGAGCTACATAGAGGATATTTTATGGTCGCGCGGAGATACAAAATTTCCCTTCGATTGTTGAAAAATATTTCACAAGTGAGCGCAGCAAACGAGTGAAATATTTTTTTAAAACGAGAAGACATTTCTTATCTCCAAGCGGCCATATAATGTTCTGTTTTATAGTATATAAACACCAATGAAATACCAAACCATTTCAGTAGAAGTCCAGCCATATGGTGTAAAAAATAGCTGAATTGTGCACGTTGAGGTAAAAGCATCAAACTCGGCACAGTGATAGTACAAGTTGTAGCGACTATTTTTAGCCATTGGACCCCACTCAAATATGTGCCGGGGGAGGCACATTGTGCCCTAGGGGGAGGGGTCATGGCCCTTTTGTTCTGGTCCGGAAAAGACTCAAGGAAGGGAGAAAAGCGCTCTAAAAACTTTTAAAATCCCATTTTCTTAACGGCGGCACAAGATAAACCTTATAAATACCCGTTACCTACTTTTTCGAGAAATTTTATGAAAATGATTCTTGTCAGAAGGAAAAGCCAGGTAGAGGCAGGCTAAGTAATGAAAGGCGGAATTAATTTTGAGTTAAAAGCAGACAATACTATTTTGCATGCTCTCGTTGACACACCAAAACACCTTATTAATATTTTTGAGATGCTTCCTGATGGAACAAACAAGACCACATACGGAAGAAAGAAAAGACCAGGCTACTCAGGGAAATTCAACACGGTGGACTGGAATGGCTGGTCTTTTTGCTAGCGTGTGAAACTATGCCGTTTTTCACCCTCGGAAAAGTAAGATGTTCCATTTTATACTTTGATAAAAGTGAATTGCACGTTATAGGAATTTAATTGATCAGCCAACCTACTACAAAAATAAATTATAACATAACAAAAGTAAATCGCGCGCTCTGATTGGTCAGTTAGCCACTACCATTTGCCCGTGGGTGCACGCTAAGAAACTGAGCTAGCGCGGTAAAATTTAGGCAAATTCAACAAATCTCCTCTCCTGACGGTAAAATACACCGATGAAATGCACAGATGAAAAGTGGAAGGTGAAGAAAATACTAAGCTGTCGTTTTGAAGAAAAAAAGGCAAAAGATCAAGCGACAAATTTGCCCTGGATGAATTAATCACTGTTTTCCTCGCGGCTAGAATCGGCTGAAGGAAAATCGAGCGAGCGAAGATTTAAGGTACATTTTGTGTGTGTTTTTTATAGAGGAGAAAGTCTGTTTGAAATGTAAATTTATCAATTACCATTGTGTTATTGACTTTTTGGTCAAGCTGATGCTAAATTCAAGCAAATATTTTAGGAAACACGCTCAAATTCGAGACAGCTTTGTTGTGAAGTTTTCATCGCATCGATTAACAATTTTAGTTGAGTTTAAACGGACACATAACGCTGGAATAAGCGAATTTCATTTAAGTACAGAAACATTTGGGTTTTCAAATAAGTTTTTCAAAAAATAACTTCTGTGTGTATTATTTTGTTCCTCAGTGTTCATTCATAACAGTCGTTCAGGGAACAGTCGAAAAACAACAGCTTCAGCGCCGACTGTGTGTCGGCGAATTTCAGTTGACTTTCATAGCTGGATTTCCCCAGACAGATTTCGATACAAAGCTAGTTAATTTCTTTTTAAAATTAGTGTTACCTGTTATCTAAAGGAATTACTGTCAAATTTTCTCATTTCTACTTTACGTTTATTTCAAAAATTGTCACATAAATAAGCTTGATAATTATTTCATTTATTTAGTTTTAGCTTATTTTTTAGAGTCTTTTTAGTTGGTGTTTATAGTTGCAGATATAGTTTTCCCTCAAAGTTTTTACCCTAATATAAAGAGCAAGTAGACAGATGCCATTCACAATAACAACAAAAAACGTTTTGCAATTTACCTGAAGACGGAGAACGGCTGATTTAGCGAAAGAAAAACTCAAAGGCAAGTGTTTGAAAAACATAGAACATGATTTGTTTACGCGCGGGCAGATGGCAGCATACATGAACTCCCACCGATGACTCAACTGAAGGCAAATGGAAAACAATGTTTTTCTCTTTTGATTATGTTATAAAAGAAATGGTAAACGTTGCAGCTGTGAAACCATGGAGTTATGGATGCACTTGGGAGGTTTGCTAAGCACTCAAGCAGCTAGAGTCGCACTCGGCTATCGCCTCGTGCGACTCTTACGCTTCTTTCGTGCTTAGCAACCTCCCGCGTGCATCCATAACTCCATGGTTGCACGCTGCACGTTTACCATTTCTTAAACATGAGACACTTACAGAGACATTCAGAGTGCGGGAAGAGTTGGTCCTATTTTTAATCACCTTACAGCGAGCGACAAGAGGAGCCCGCAATTTTAATCTTCAGGTTGTTATTATACATGCATCGCATGTATGTAGCCAGCATTCGTTTAGACTTCCATTAAGGATGAATGTAATTCACAGAATGAAACTAGATCACTCGCATTTGGGTCTTCTTTCACTGGGGGTCTGACACGCGTACTTGGATCATCTATCTCGTGAAACTTGGGTAATGCACGGCGTTGGAGTAAAAGGGTTTCATCTTCCATCGTTGTTGCCCTCACTCCCTAACCTTTAGTTATTTCTAGATTTCACAGAATAATGTATTTATCTCCCTTAGACTCTGTTTTTTTTTCTGAAAGTGCCGAGCTGTGGAAAAAAAGGGAGAAAAAAAAAAAAAGAAAAAGAAAAATGGGGAAGCTTATAGTGCAAAAAAAGAGCGCAAAATTGCGTCAGAATCGACTGAGACAGTGAGTTTTATGCCTAAACGATTCTTCAGAAATATTATGATGTCCTTTTGATTCAGTGCAAAAGAGTCAGATTCACGGTATGATTCATTGCGCCTTGGCATACAGAGTTCCCTTGAACATAACCATGTGTGCCTTTGAAACACCACAACTGACACTAAGAGCTACATGCAAACGGGCGCAACAATTCACAATGTTTCGTCTGTTTGCATGGGGCGAAAAGTTTAACTGGTTTCAGACTTTGCGCAACAACTCCCAACAACACGCAACAACATGCAACAGGGTGTGCAAACGGACACAACCTGTAACTTCCAACAGTTTTGGGAGTTGGTCGCCAACAATGTTGCGTCTGTCTGCAACGGTATTTTATAGCTCAAAGTTACGTTGTGAAAAAGAGCGCAAATAAAGTAAAAATCAGTTTAATAAGCTTAAGAGAGCACTAAAAGGGAAAAAGCGAGTGACAGAGATCAAAAGATGATGACGGTAGAAAGGAGTTACCTCAAAAGAGCACTACAGGTGCAAAGGCTGGTCTGTCGATCGAACCTTCGTGAGCTTCACATCGATTCACAAAACCTATACTTTTAATCTTGGTGGAATATAAGAGACATTTCTCGCATCGTTAGAGAAAAATCACAGCTCGGTAAACTAAGTGCTGGTTTTTATAGTACTTGATGAGCTTTGATGTACTGCCAGTAGCACCAGGAGTAAAACATCAAACCGTGAAAAAAACTTATAACGACCCCATATGCTAAGCCGGCACTGCGCTCACAGAACTGTTTTTTTTTTTAGTTCCGTGGACAAACTAAAATGATCCAGTGTTCAAGTTTTCGGAGCTATCTAAAATGAATTCAACAAGGCTAGAGCAGAGGAGCTGGTTGATATTACACAGCAAGTTCACAGTAGAAATTGTAAACACATGAACAATCTTTGGATTTAAAGCCACATAGAGATGGTCGTGATTCGTAATGTGCTCCTTGATTTAATTGAAGACGCTGAAATTGTTTAGCAGAACGCCACATAGAGAAAAACCGATAGCGAAGCAACGAGGATTGCAAAAGCAGTCAAATGTATTACACATTCTTTGGGGCCCCCTTAACATGGAAAAAGCCCGGTTCATTGGACATTTGAAATTAACTGCCAAGAAGCCTCACATCCCTCAGTCTTTAAGAAGTTTAATTTTGATCTTTCCGGGCCGGTGGAGCTGGTAATAAGACGCAGTCAAGCAACATCATTCAGAATCTAGCTGCTCTTACTGTATTACAGCATATAGGATTTATAACTCTGTGGTTCGACGTCGCAATGTTTCATCGTTAGAAATTTAATTTTTATGTAAGTCTCATGGTGTCCATCGCGATAACATCGTAACCCTAGTTTCTACTACCGCAACTGGTTCTTTACATAGCACAGCAATACCGTCAGGGCTCTCGAGAGATGAAAAATCTATATCAGGGTGTTGAACTTTTATCACGCAATCAGACATCAGCTTTCGTAGGACGAGAGAACTACCTGGGTCACAAGAATGTCTTATGGAGAAGCCACTGAACCTTTTACATCCCTTAGCCAACTACAAAAGATGTTCAAGAAACTATGCTCGTGCTTGAGAGATTTGTTGTCCTAGTGTCTGACCACACAAGCCGCATTCAAAGAGTCAATGATGCCAGAAACGTTTTCTCTATTTGCGCAGAAGGGAAGAACCCTTAAGACCTCCTGTCTACTGACCGTGTGTTATTTCAGTACACCAAGAGAGCTGCCTACAAAGATGGACATTGTTGAGGACAGTGCTTTGAATGGTGAAGATCAAGAGAATCATATGAGTCAGATGCGCGGAAGCTTCTATGCCCCACCTTAATGTGAGCATCAAAGGTATACCAGGAGCTAATGCAAAGCTGAACGAAGTTGAAAAGGACGTTTAAAATGTTTACGCGTTACAAATTTTGTGGAGAATGCGTGGATGAGAGGATTACGCCCGTTGCCTTTCCAAAAATAAGGATCTAGCTCAATGGCATAAAATGGCTGTTTTGCCATGCGATTGAAATAACAGTTGTGATATAAATGAAAAAAAGAGAGAATGACGTCTGAAAATCCTGCTAAAATCCTTGACAACACATTTAAGTTGTGTTATAAATGGTGTAACGGTTGCTGGCAGATTAAAATAGCTAAAACGGCGCTTTAAATCATGTAGTTTATTTTTGCAGGGTGATGTACTGATAATATATAAAACATGCGCTTACTACACCAGGACCAGGACGAACCCCCCCCAACCTAACTACCCTAAACAATATGCACAATTGTCTACAACTAGCCTAACTAAGACCTGTTTTTCATGAATGCCGTGTACACAGTACTTTAAAAATCAGAAATTTAGATGAAGAAATCGTTTTAATTGACTTTAAGGTTTAGCCTCTCTCATATCACAGGGCGGACTGTTCCAGAGAACTGCTCCGCTATAACTGAAGCTGTTCTTCATGAAGTTAGTTCGCGGGATGGGACAATAACTTTGTTAACAGAGTCTCTTAGGGATCTAGAAATAATGGAACCATTCAACTTACGGGAAGTAAGTTCGTTAATGGTTTGCCATGTTTTTCGAGAATTACCTTTAGATTGACTAAAAGCATTGGAATAATGAGATGCTTTAGAAGTCTCGATGTTATTTTTTATTGTATTTCGTAACTTTCGTAACCAGTCGTGTGGATCATTCGATGCCATAGCTTTACTTTTCTTTTGCCAGCATCACGATCGCGCATGCCTGTCTTTAATTCTGAATTGATCCAGGGTGCCTTTTTTCTTCTAGCGCGTCTGGTCCGGAGTGGAGCATGAAAGTTGACAACATCCAACAATTTCGTTTTCCAGTCAGCACACAAAACATTAGAATCATCAGAAATAGCTTTGAGTTAGGGTCACGAATTTTAATAGATAAATTTTCAAGATCAGGTACATTTAGATTAGAACAAACTACAAAATTAATAGAGGTTTTTATATAAAAGCCTACTCCTCTATGGTGGCCGAGCATCCTCACCAAAAAATGACCAGATTTGTGCTGCGATTTCGAAAAATAAGAGAAAGTATTTTAAAAACTAAAAAAAAAAACAATGAACCAAACAAAAAAAAAAAGAGGAAAAACAAAAAAAAATTGGGACAAAAATAATAGCGGAGCTCTGGCGCGCGAAGCGCGCCTGCGGAGCACCATGGGTAAGTAAATCTACCCATCCCAGAAAATTTGGTAATCACGTGACCGTACACCGACCGCCCGTCCGTCCGCACCACAGGCTACCCAATGTTCAATCTCACACTTTCTAGCCAGTTTGGGAGCACAGGAAGACTGATATTGCACACATATTGCACATCAAGTGTTGTGATCAATTGACAGCTGTCAAAACAGGGTACCCACTGACCAGTATCACCTGACCGTATCGCGGGCTCAGGTGTTGACCCATCGAGGTCTAGTATCTTTTTGAAGTTATCCGCTGACAACTTACTATTTGAAATGATGGCAGGCTCAAGTTTATTTTTTTTTTAAATTCATATGAAATATGTTGTGTTTTATATGCACCGCACAATTAAAATTTTGATTTTAAACTGACGTCGGAAGCTAAAATTTAGCCAGTTTTTACAGGCAGGGAAGACATGCCAGTTGCTTTTGACTTTTCTCACCAAGGTCACGCGTTGGTCACGCTCTACGTCCAAATTTTTATGTTCTGATTGGTCAAAATTTGACAGGTGAGTTCATGCGGAAAATTTATGCAGCATCTTGAAACCTGTTTACTTTGACAGCTGAGGCTGACAGAGTTTTGTGTCAACTTGTGATGTTTTTAACTGTCTTTTTCTACTGAAAGTACAAAATGAAATTCAGCTGCTATCAAGAGTCTTCTGTTATTCATGGCTAGTTTGTTTATTGGGTTTTTGGTTGAGAAATACGTCGCTTGTCAAAGTCGGAAATCCGATTTCGGATGGTGTCGTTTTCGTTTTTCACCTTGCTTGATGCGTAAGAGGGTTAAAAAGTCTGAAGCGATTCTGGCCTTACTTGATAGTTTTCAGTGCATCTCAAATGGTAAGCTTCGTTTTGCTTTGATGTTTGTTTTGTATATCTAATTTAATGAAGTCGAGCGTAGTTTAGGCCGTTATTTAGTTTATGCACGTTTGTAAGATTTGAGACAATGATCTGACCGAGTATCAGGTTTGATTATAAGCTTATAGAACTTTAAAAAGCCTTTAGACATTTTCTCACCGCAAATAGAAAGAAAACGTTCCCGAAGAATATTTAGTTATAATTCTGGCTGTAAAAGAAAGCTTTGAGCGATTTTCTTGCCTCGAGTTTATCTTTAGAAAAGCAAACACCGGGAAGCCGGCTTAAAACATAAACAAGGATTTTCAGAGACACTTTAATACTTGTCTTCGTGAATGAAAATTGTTGTCCCTGTATATATTTCACAGAATTATTTTCCTTTTATTGATTGTTAGTCGCTGTACCGTTTGTTTTCGGTCGCTCTTAAACATCGCTTGCATGCAGTAGTCAAAATGCCGCGCGTATCAAACGCTTTTGAAGAAATTAAAAAAAAAATAAAAAATAAACATAATAAATTCTTTATTATGTTGAAGCGTACAACTCTATTAATCTTAATTTAAACAGTCGTCTTTGGCGCTTGTCAAAAGTGAATATTGAATGAGTGCAATATTTGTATTGCAAAATTGTGAAATACTGCACTCTGTCCGAGGTCTGTATGATAAAAACAGCGCCTCATGTTACTGTTTCACCTCAGATGTGATGGATAAAAAGTATAAAAGGATGGTTTACACGTCCCAGACTTGTTGGCAAGATTTTGTAAAGTACGTTAACTTGTCGAACGCAAAAATTCGGCCTGATTTGTTTTTCAGAAATTTGTTTTCCAGGCCTAATCTACTGTGATCAAGAGCCTTTATCGCTCTTAAATGTGATCAAAGATGATTGCTATTTTTTGGGTGTTCATATAAGGCTATCAACTCGATGTAAGATTAAGTTCACTCTTAGCTTGGACTGTTTGCAAATCATTTTTTCGCGAAAATCACTTAACCTTTCCCTCAAAAGTCACATGAATGTGCTCTAAAGTTAACTGAATTGTGGAATACAAGTTTATTGTTTGATTTAAATTATAAATTCGAGTTTATAATAGGAGCTTCGCTTTTAACCCTGGCTAAATGTACATATTAAAACAAAAAAAAAGAGACGAAAAACAAGACAAAAATAAACATAAACATAACAAAATGCAAAAGACGAAAAACAAAACAAAAAAATTAACCCTTTAGAAACATTGCGACTCCAAAAGCATATTGAAATCAAAATCAAAATTCAATGTGAATGACCGGCCGATCATCGTTCTCAAAAAAATTGTGAAATCGAAAATGAAAACTTGTGAGAACATCGTCCTTCTAATCGTCTTTTCCTCTACTTAACATAAACGTCGAGGTCGTGAAGGCCCGTTGATCACAGATATAGCAGGCTATGAGAACGCCAGGCCGTCATCAAACATCTCATTTTTCATTTCGAAATGAAAATGTTCGAAAAAACGTCGAGCGTTCTTATAGCCCGTCAAATCTTTGACCAGCGGTCCTATAGTTTCATGGCGTACTATATATGAGGTACCTACCAACCATGGCCACGGTTGGAGTTTACGAGTCGTTCGGTGCTGGTTATAGATTATTAGATAAAGATTTGGTTCCTCCATCTATGCAACAAGGGTAATGAATACATCATTTTGAGCATTTGTTGCATTTGAGGTACTTTTTAAGTTTCTGAAAATATGCCGAGTTGTAATTCAAGCACAGATTTGCCGATGTCTCAGTTCCAGTTGGCTGAACTAGAGGAATCGTTTGTGCTTCAGCAGCTCCTCGCTCTGGAGACAAACAAGGCGATTGGCTTGGACAAAATTAGTGCAAAATTGCTCAAAAACTCTGCTCCTACGATTGCACTATCTGTTACTAAGTTACTGAAGCTATCAATTAAATCAGTTAAATTTTCTAAATGGTGGAAATGTTCTAAAACTACAGCCCTGTTTGAGTCAGGGGACCGGACAAATGCATCAAACTACCGACCTATCTCTATTCTGCCTACACTCAGCAAGATTCTTGAGAAAGCTGTACATACAAAGTTATACCAGTTCCTGGTTGCCAATAAATTCCTCGCAGGAAAACAGTTTGGATTCCGGAAGGGACTGTCCACTATATCTGCTCTGACATCCTTTGCCGACGAAGTCCTTCTCAATATGGAACAGGGTAGACTAGGTGGAGCCGTGTTTTTGCACCTAACAAAAGCTTTTGATACGGTGGATGTTCAGATTTTATTGTCTAAGCTACCGGCGTATGGTTTGTCTGGAAATTCGCTTCAACGGTTTCGTTCCTATATCACTGACCGAAAACAGCGTTCATCTTGTGCGAATGAGATGTCTAAAGAGTTGCCAGTAACTCACGGGGTGCCTCAGGGTAGCATATTAGGCCCCTTGTTGTTTGTCATTTATATTAATGATCTGCCAAGCATTCTGGTCCCACGAATGATGCTGTGCGTCCCTCTATGCAGACGACACCGTGATTTACTATTACGGCTCATCTTCCCAGAACTCAGTGACAAGCTAAATCGCGACTTGTTGGCCGTAGCGAAATGGCTAAACGATCACAAGCTATAACTTTGAATCTCGAGAAAAGCAAATGTATGCTTGTAGGTAGTAATAGGAAATTGGAAAGCAAAATGGCTCTAACAGTATCAATCTTCGACCACAATATAAATAATGTCAACAGCTTCAAATACATTGGAATTTTTACATCATATGATTTTACACGGACAAATCATGTTGAATACATTGCTGGCAAAAATTAATCAAAGGCTTGGTCTCCTTAATCGCATTAAGCATTTATTACCTTTTAGTGCAAAATCTCTCTTCGCCTGAGATTTCACTTAAGAAACATGTCAAAAAATAGTAAAGATATAGCGGTTCATGCAAACTCCATGCTATGAACTACATGTTTGCAAACCATATAGTCATGCAAGTCCTGGGGTCACTCATTGAGGCCTGATCTTGTTGCTGACATCCTTTCGCGCAAAAGTAGCCGTTTTTAGGAGAAAGCAAGAGTTTTAAGAGCGGGAACAAAAGGCAAAGGGCCTTACAGTGACTGAACTTGTAGGACCGCTGGTCAAAGATATGACGGCCAGGCGTTCTCATAGCCCGCCATATCTGTGATCAACGGGCCGTCACGACCTCGATGCTTATGTTTAGTAGAGGAAAAGACGATTAGAAGGCCGGTCGTTCTCACAGGTTTTTCATTTTAGATTTCACTATATTTTTATGAGAACGATGATCGGCCGGTCGTTTTCATTGAATTTTGATTTTGATTTCAACATATGCTTTTGGAGTCGCAATGGTTATAAAGGGTTTACTTTTTTCGTTTTGTTTTTCGTCTTTTGCCTTTTATTATTGTTATTGTTGTTATTATTATTATTATTATTATTATTATTATTATTATTATTATCTTTTTTATTGTTTTTCGTCCTTTTTTTTTGTTTTGTTATTTTTTGTCGTATTTTTTTTTTTTGTGGTTTTTCTGAAAACTGAAAGTGGCGTTGTTGCCGGCAAAGAACGATGATTGGCCGGTCGTTCTCATTGAATTTTGCTTTTGATTTCAACATGCTTGTTATAAAGGGTTCACTTTTTTTGTTTTGTTTTTCGTCTTTTGCCTTTTATTATTATTATTATTATTATTATTATTATTATTATTATTATTGTCTCTATTATCACAGTCTTTGCTGGTGTTCTTTTTGTGCATCAGCCGGGCGCATACCATGCACCTAGAGCGTCAGTCACTCAAGTCAATCATTCTGTTCACACACTGAGCACCTTTCTGAGGATTCGTGCAGATCCCAGCATGCAGATCTTTTGAATCTCTGTCATATTAGCTCTTTCTGATACTTTCTTGATGTTTTCTACCATACCCTTCTTCACTGTACCAAGCGCACCAACAACCACAGGGATCACTACGGTTTTCATATGCCACATTCTCTGTATTTCTAGTTCTAGGTCTTTGTACTTGCATTTTTTTTCAGTTTCCTTCAGTGCGATGTTTCTATCTGATGGAACAGTCATATCAATAAGTTTGCAGGTGGAATTCACTGAATCTTTAACGATGATATCTGGTCTGTTCGCTGTTATAGTTCTATCAGTATTGACTGGCATGTCCCACATGATGGTGATGTTGTTATCTTTATTGTGTATCGCGGTCTCTGGTTCGTGTTCGTACCATTTGTCTGTAATCTCTATATCATGATCTTTACATATGCTCCAATGGAGATATGCTGCAGCATTATTGTGCCTGGAAATGTACTCTGTTTTGGCTAATACCTCACATCCAGATACAATATGGTCCACTGTCTCTTCATGTTGCGAACACAATCTGCATTTGCTCTCCACTTGCTGGCCACATATTACTTTCTGGTAGTTTCTGGTGTTTATTGCCTGGTCTTGAGCTGCAACAAGTAGTCCCTCTGTTTCTCCTTTCAAATTACTTGACAACCATTTGTTGGTGGTGACGGTGTCTACATGAGGCTTCTCTAGGATCTTTGGATACTGGCCATGCAATGCTTTGTTTTTCCACTTTTCTTCTTTCATTGACTTTATCCTGGACTTAAACACGTGTTTCAGGGCTTTAGCATTTTCAGAGGCAGATTTATCTTCTCTGTACTCAATCTCTGGCATTGTTACTTCCCTTTTGAATTTAGTAGCCTTCTTGGATATTGAATTTTTGGCTTTAGATCTTTCATGTTCAAGCACCTGCTTTGGATATTGCCCTTCCTTGTGCTTCAGATAGTGATCAAGCCCTATTCTTGCAGTTTTGAATGCTGTTTCTACATCAATCAGGCCCCTACCTCCATCTTTTCTTGGGATGTACAGCCTTTCAACATCTGCTTTAGGATGTAACA